CCAAAATTTAATACTGTAGTATTAATGTCCCTTTATACGCAAGCTATAGTGCCACATTTCGTTTTTTAAACTTTACTCATTCTGAAATATTGTTTAATATCTCAGAACGGAAAATAAAGAAATTAATCTCATCTATTTTCATATTTACAAATGAAGTCTACGAAAAGACCATCAAAAATTATCTCAGAGATCCGACGAAGATCTCGGGGGTGGAGTGTGGATATAGTTTTTAACTAGCAATAATCAAAACCATAGAATTTTGTGCATAAATCCTGCGCAAAACTCTTATTTACACCAAATATCTTTGGCTGCTGACACATTTATTTGCTATACTCCAATGTTTTCAGCCTAATGCAAAGGCCATCCTCGGTGCCATATTTTTGAAACGTCAGTTACATACTGTTCTAAAATAGAATATAATAAATATAAAATATTAGAACATTAAATTTAAATATTTAAATGTAAACGTAACATCTAAAAACTCATAAAAACCTATAAAAATTAAAAATTCGAACGTAAAATAACATAAAAGTGAACAATAAAAATAAAACTACAATTGTAAATTTTTAACTACAAAAATATATCTTAAATCGGTCCCAGATAATCGTAAATTATAAATAGCTCTAGCATGTGTACTGTATAAAATGCACACCGCAGCGGGCCGAATGTCAGTTTGTTGCATGGTCCACTGTGGCCCATGCCCGAATTTGGGTCAGTCTTTATAAAAGTAATAGATCACGTTTGTCGTGATTCAAACGTCTGTTTGTATGGACATGAATTATTAATTTAATGTATTAATACAATAGACAGTGTTTGTATTTAATTAATTTTGTCCAGTGAAAATAACGGATATTAAAGTAAGGAACGGCTACCATGCAAACAGCCCATTGGGAAAATCCGATGGGCCGCATTACCACTGCTGACATCTTAACCGCGTCGGCCACGGCCGGATGGCCGAGCAGTCAAGGTAGCAGCCTACCACTCTGGGAGACCCGGGATAGAATCCGGACGGGTCGAAAAATCTCCACGAATTTTTCAGGGAGTGGTCCGTCCGGATATGTCGTTCCGCGTCCCTCACCACTCGGCAATCCCATTGGGGATCTAGACGAACCCATAATGGGATTGCTAAAAAGACCTCTTAGTGTCCACAGAGTGGAAAGAGATAAAGTGTTAAATAAAACAGGTAATATAAGCTCGTGCATATTGATACCTTTATTCTTAATATCTTCCACTTACTTTTTATCATATATTCCGGAATTCTTATTTTTACAAGATGACAGCTTCACTTCTTCATCGGAAGTGAAAGCCATGGCTGGATGGCTGCAGCAACAAGGATAGGAATTTTTGAGAATGGGATGAATGGACGTTGATCCATATTAGAGAGGGCATATCCCACAAATATTTTTCTACCAGCAAAATGTCCTTCCCAACGTATTTTTATTTTGTATCATACTACAAAAATAAAAGTAGAAACGAATAATGTACTACAGTACACAACAAATACACCTTATATCCACTCAAAACTTCACGATGAAAAATTTTTTTGTAATTTGGTCCAATTCTAATTGGCTTGAATATCCTTCAGTATTTATACAGATCGACCCAATGACTTCAGTATTTATACAGATCGACCCAAACTCGTTATACTTTACGATAAATGCCTAAACAGGCAGGATGAATTTTCTGCGAGAAATAGCATATTGCTTGCAGATAAATCCCGTATACTGTATTTTCATCTCTACAATAAAAGTATTTCTACGTATAAAGTCTTATTTTTAAATTTTAAAAGTTAACCACGTGAAACGTTTTTTTTTTTAATAAAGGAAAATCAATTTTTCTGCTCTAATTGAAGGTTGAAACAGGTCGATTGAATAAGTAAGAGGAAAATAATATTAAAATCTTAAGATTAAACTTTATTTATTTTTAGACAATTTATAAGAGAATTATTTCAAAAAAATATCAAAAATAAAAATACGGGTTTCTTACTCCTTTCTGGAGATTTTTCGATCCGTTCGGATTCCCCAGAGCGGTAGGCTGCCACCTTAACCGCTCAGCCATCCGGTCTAATTGACGTTACTGCATTTAAATTTTTAAAAATAATAATAAATATATTAATACGATTAATAGTTAATAACAAATTTATTAATACATTTTTTCTATTTTACAATATATTATTTATTAATACTCATACGCGATTCGTTTTTTTTTCGGTATTACATTTACACAGCACGAATATCACAGATATCGATATGACAATTTTAATAAGAATTTAATTTAAAATTTTTCAAATATTTAATAAATTATACATTTTAAACGAAAAAACAAAAACGAATATATTTAAATTCGCTTTTATTTTCTATAACACGATATAACCGTATTATGTGAATAATATCAAATAAACATTTTAAATATTTTATTAACGATTACGGTTTATAATGACATTTTTATAATATTTAAACATTATATCACGTTTAATTTAATTTTTAAATTTATTAACGTTTAAACAAACTTAAAATAAATATCGGACATTTAAAATAACGTTTTTTCGACACCAGAGGGATAAAATTTTTTTTTTTTTTTTATCATCTGTCGAGTTAGAATCAGGAAAGCGATTGATTTATCTCAATTTCGTATATGTTAGACATATGATTTAATCATATAAGAGATAAAATATATTCAATATTATATTTACTGAACTTTAAAGCGTTAAATACTCTTAAAGACAATATATGAATAAGTTGTCAATAGATATCATAACAATTCATTCATCATTTACGTCAACATTATCTATCTACGTTTCTACGTAAGGTGCATTTAAAATGGCTGCAATACTTGCACAACTCGGTGGAAACCCATTTAACACTCCAGTTGGACAGAAAATTGGTAAGTTAACGATTATTTCTACTAACAAAGCGCAAAAGAAAATGATATATATATATATATATATATATAAATATACACTTAAATGTTTATTTGATCTTTGGTTGAATAACCATTATTATTCAGTATATAATGAACCAAGCTATTAAAATACACAAATAATAATTTGTATTAAAACTACAAGAAAAATAAGTAAGTATAATCAAACTAAAGTAATTTAGCTTTATAATAAATACATTGGAGAGCATTTGTATTTATTCTGCATCATTGCTTAGAAGAAAAGGATAGCTAAATTTTATATCTGTGGTTATCAAGCTACTGATGACTTCAAGAATAATTTAGTTCTTTGATCATTTACAGATGTTAACTTAATCTTTAAAGTGAAGTTCAAGAGAATTTAATTAATTTTTTTTTTTTTTTAGATATTTTAAACTGTTTTATGTAATTATTTCAAAGTTGTTTTGAAAAAAATAAAATAAAATAAAAATTGTTTTCGTATTGCGATGACCGTTCCGGGGTATTTATAATTTTGTACGCGATTATTTTAAATATAATGCTTTGTTTTGTGAATCGATGTTACGAATATTTTTGTTTTACTTTGAGAAGATCTTGTATAAATTTAATTGGGGATAAGGATGATGTTTATTTTATAATTTTTACATAAAATTTTATGTTCAAGGGTGATGTTATTAAATAGTACGTTTGTAATTTGTTTTATTTCTTGCAGTTGATGTAATTATAACTACTCTGTATAAATAATTTATTCATTTGTTGTTCCGTTTTCATATCATCGAATACTGTGTGACCTCATTTAAGTTCTGAAGACATCTCTTCTAGTGAATCCATAAAAATGAACTTTCATCAATTAATGAAATTTAATATATATGTAATTTTGTAGTTGTGTCTTCTACATGTTTCAAGGCCAATTTAAGTTAATAAATATTTGTATTTAAAACATTGAATATTCATTAAATTATACTGAATCATACTATTTAACATTTAAAAGAATTTACATATTAAATTATTATTTTGTTTGAATATTACCAAGTTATGCATTAGCATATTTGAGAAAATTTTAATATTGTATTATGAATATCTTTTCTATGAATATTCAATAAGGTGATCAGATGTCTCCAGTTTTGCCTGTTTTTAATGTTTGATTGTAGAATTAATCTCTGAATAGAGCAATTTTTATTAACACATCAATATAATATCACCAATTTATAGATCAATAAATAAGTTTTAAAAATAACTGAAGTTTAGTCAATTTTAGTTCCCATTTTTACTGATTCTTAAATGTGTCCCTGGCTGGATTGTAAATCATATTGTCTACCTATATTAAATGTTTTAGCATTTTTTAAAAATTAATTTAAATATTCTGAATAGATAAGAGTATTTTTTTGAACTTTTATTTACCATTTTCATTTTATTATAATAATATAAATTAAAATTCCATAATCTTCAGAGCTAGATTTGTAATGTAGTTAATAAGTCAGTCATATTTGCTGATTACAGACAAGATTAGATTGTTTATCTTTTTGGATGAAACTTATATTGATTTTACAACTGGATTAGTGTGTTTATTATCTTTACAATATTGAAAGTTCTCTTTATAACTATTAGAAATTCTCTTCTTTAATATTTTTGTATGTTAATTATATATTAATTTAATAAAATACATGGTTATTCCTCTGAGCTGTATATTAATAAATTAAGATAAAGATAATTATGACTTGTTCTATCAGTATCTATTCAAACCAGTTATTAAGACATACAAATGAGTCATGAGGCAACAAATATGTTAGTTATTAATAATTGAATGAATAAATAACTTAATCTATAGATGTTTCACATCAAATTATTTAAAATTTATAAAATTTTAATATTTAATTCTGTAAGCTATTTAAAATGCTTTATTCCACTTGTTATTTGCTGAATATGGTCTAAATTCATGCCAATTATTAAATATTTCCCTGATAACTTAAAATAATAACTTTTTGTTCATTTATGAAATTGTGGTACCAAGTTTTGTTTTTTTCTGATACTAACTTTTTCTGTTTATTTTAATTTGCTAATATATAATTTATTAAAAAGTTTTTATAGAATTATGTAGGATGGATGGCTTATGTAGTCTTATGTGATATCTTATTCAATTACATAAAATTAATATCTGGTACTATTAATGATAAAGTTAGAGCAATATTTTATTTGTCATAAAGTTATATTTTATTTCAATTATTAATGTTATTTTCTTTTTCAGTTAGTACTTTATACACTAAAACCTGCTAATGTGACCGACCACCTGTGTAAGATGAACAATTTGAGCTGGTCCCTTCAGTGGTCACAGAAGGTTTTACTGTACATTGTTATTACATTTGAAATATATTTGAAATATTTTATATGATTCTGTATGTAAATACTGTACTGTACCAGTATATACATATATCATCTTTGTCATTATTTAAACTTTCCAGATTAACTCAATTTATTTTCTCAACAATAAAAGATAAATACAATAAAATCTTTATAAACTAAAATCTCATGGTACTGAATTATTTTTCCATTTTGGCAGGTTTCAGTTTGAACAACTTTAATATATATAAATGTCACACAGTTACATTCATTTTTACAGTAAAATCATGTTTGTATACTTAAAAACTGTTTGTTATTACTAGATTTAATCCAAATAAACCCAAAGTGATCCTAAGGATAGGAATATTCAAATACAAGAATCGAGAACTATTCAATTGCAAAAAGTTCTTGTTGTTTCAAAGAACTTGTACTTCATATTCCAATGGTTCTCAGGTGTGATCCTTATGAGCTCACAAACAAGCCAATTGGAGTACTAAAAACTAATGTCTTGTGCTGCTATTTGAAATTCTAATTTAATTACAAACAGAAAGATCAAGTTATCCTGTGATTGACTTCTTAAGGGATTTTAATACTTTAATTATAAACTTTGATCTCTAATTAGCAACATATTAATCAATTTGTTTTTGAATGTTCTGTACTAATTAGTTACTAAATACTCTGAAATTGAAATTGATAGCACTGTGTTACCTTATTATCATCATTTCTTGTTCTCAAGAATTCAATTCTTGAAAGTATTTAGTTCTACCCCTGGTTAATTTCAATAGAGATTAATATTAACAAAGACCTTGTGTCCATATAACTCCTTGTCATATGTCATTTTTTTCTATGACAAGATTCAAAATTGTTATAAAAATACAGTCTGTCATGATTGTTATTCTTAGAGGTGACTTTTACTTATTTTCCTGAGTGGAATCTTAATTTTCTACTTTATCCAGGTCAAGTTATGTTCCTTGTATCCAGAAAATATTTTCCATTTCCATGTTGGACAGATTTCTGGCTTATAACGAAATTTAACATAGAAAATTGCTCTGTTTTGAAGAATTTTTTCCATTTAGGCAGGTTTTACTGTATATATAAAAATTATAAAATTACTCACAAAACTGAATTGGAAAATTTGTTTGATGAGAAATATAAAGTCGTCATCATATTTATTACTACAATCAATAAATTTATTTATAAAATTATCTGTATCTATTTTACTGTGCTTTATTTCCTTTATTTCTTAGCATTTGAATAAAAATACATAATTCACTTATTTCTTGTAAAATAATAGTCTTTAAAATTTCAGCTACATACACCTATTCTTCTTTTTATGTGATCTAGTTTTAAGCAATTTTGAAATAATGTGGTTGATAAAAGAAAATTAATCCTCTTTTAATGTGATCAATTTTTTTTTACATGGGGAAAAAACAGTTTATTTGAAAACACTTTTTTGTTTTCAAATAAACTGTTTTTTCTTGCAATTTTTTCTTAAAAAAGCAATTTTTTGTTAAAGTTGTGTTGTTATTAAAAAAGTTGCATTTTTCGTTGAAATCAAGAGTTCATTTATCTGTTTTAATCACAATACACAGAGAATGTGGTATGTTGATTTTGTTTCCTTTGCTACTTTGTGTTTACAGTATTTACATACAAATAATGTTAATGATAAATGATATTAGAATAAAAAAGCTTATGTTTTTTTGTAAATTGCTTAATTTTTGTTCCATGATTTTGTGGATCCTATTTTTCTTTAGGATATATGTACTGTATATTTTTACACAATTTTTGTTTTATGCGGCATTCTTTGGAATGTATCCACTACGCAAAAAGATAGGTGTATTTCAAAAGTATAAATATTACTGTAGTATTACATGTAGTTATTAGGTGGAATCTATATTATCTGAATGGTTATGTATGTGATACTTTATTTATTTATTTATCAAAAGTACCATTAGTCTTAAAAATATATATACTGTATTTTAAAGTGTAACATCTAGGAAGAATTTACATTTATTTTCTGAAATATTAATATATTTAATATTTATCTTTAGTTTTTTTTTAATCTGATTTCTACTTAAGCAGTTTAATTTTTGTCACTTTTTCAACATAGAGAACTGTAAAAGATATGTTACTATGTTGTACTCCAATGTTGTAATCACTGTAGCAAAGATAAGCATACACTGGAGAAAATGCTTATTCATGCAAACTCTTTTTATATGCAATATATTACCGATAGCAGTTATTATACATTTATATATTAGACAATTTATTTTATACAAAAAATATTTTATTATTTTGACACATTTAATATTTCTGAAAGTTTATTTTATAAGTTAATTAATGGAAATGCAAAATGTTTTTATTTTTCTCAACAATGCATTTCATTTACTAGGTTATCTTAAGACTTACAAACTCTGTAATTATTTTATGTTTACATTTGATGACAATCCATCTATTCTTTGTCAGTCATTCCAATCAAAACTGTTTTAATTCTACACTGAACAAAAAGGTTTAAATGTTTAAAATTCTTTGTTTTATTAATGCAAATAGATATTTGTAAGTTTTGAAAAAATCATAGGCTTATCCATTAGACATTTATATTCTTTAAGTAATACATGTTTTGCAAGTCTTGTGCAATTATTTTTTGTAAG